TGGCTTTTTTTCTGTCAGGCTTATATACTAACAAAGAGGCATCTCCAACATTCGCGAAGCTCCCCGATTATTCGAGAAATTCACCACACATACTCTCAGGGTCACGTGACTTCCACTGTCGTAACAGTTTTCTCAAAATTTTAAATCCAAAAAAAGAGGTTCAGAAATAATAAGATTTCGAGGGAAAACAACTGGGGATGTTCAGAAATAATCACCTCTCTTCATTCCACCCATGGTTGAACAAGGGTTTACTTATTGAAAATATAAATTAGGGGCGTGATCTTTCATGGTAGCCTTTATCCCCTTAGGTGAGGCTCATATGCGGGCTCTTTCATGGGCTTTTCACAACCAGTGAAATTTCGCAGGGGATCCTTTATCGGCTCTTATTACCCTTCCTCTTACCCTTGTCGTTGATTGGCATTGGTGGTTAGATATGACTCACACGTTGGCGGGTATTCAACTTCCTCCTCCTCATCTGGTTTTCCATATTTCATGGATGCATCCCTTCAGGGATGGGGAGCGTGTGTTGATCAACTGGAAGATTCGAAGTTTTGAATCTGTGGCCTAGATGTCTTATCCTATCAATGTCCTGGAGCTTCTCACTGTAGGTCGTGTTTTGGTTCATTTTCTCCAACTGGCCAGAAATCGTCTCGTAATGATCCAGTTCGACTTTTATTCATTGGTTAACTATCTCAATCACCAGGGTTGGCACCCATTCTCCTTCCCTCTGTATTTTGGGCCCACATGCTCGATATTCCTATCATTGAATGTTATGTTCCAGCAGATTTCACTCTTGTCATGGATCAGATTCATGTCCAGACAACATTTATCCAATGTAGTGTTCTCTCGATCCTTTTGTTTTCCAGTGAATTTGACTTCAGTGGGGCACTCCTCACATTGAGGCTTTTGCCACATCCTTTAACCACAAATTGCCTTGGTTTTGGTCTCCGGTTCCTCATCTTCTTAATCTGACTATTGATGTTTCCAGCCAGGATTGGACCTACACATTTGTCTATCCTCCTGTTCTCCTTTTTCTCTGGGTAATTTCTTTCATCCTTGACACTCTCTGCTCAGTTTTTCTGATAGCTCTTTTATGGCTGTGGTTTCCGTGGCCTCTTCAGCTCCAACTTCCTCCTCTGTCTCCGTCTCTTCTTTGGCATCCTCAGTCACTGGTGTTTCATCCAGACCTTCCTATAATTACCTGCTGAACCACTGGAAGGGCTGTTTGTGTTATTTAATAGTAACATTTCATTCAAATTATTGAATCTTAAAACATAATGAAAGATTTACAATACGTGATTACCATCCAAAGTAAACATTTTGAAGATGTATTACGCATGGCCTAGTGTTTTCAGACTGTCAGTACTAAGGTTTATGGCTCACGTTCTACAGTTGCAGAAAAAATGCGCTCTGCAATTTAGTACCGCTGTAAGTGTAACGGTTAAATCCAAATATGGAGTAGTTTACGAGTTGTTGGTGGGTGCGTTTGGCCACCTACTTTTCCTCTATTCAGCCAATTCATAGTTAGGAATGACTATGAGTAGCTTTACAACGTGTTTACTTTGCACTCTCGCTCTCACCAAAGGATGGTTACAATAAATATATCTAATAACTGAACTACAAATGTGCGAATTAAATTATAGTAGTATTTAAAGCACTGGGACTAGGGACCACTATAACATTTTCAAAAGTCATAGACAGTTAATTTCAGGGCTTGGCATGGACTAGTGCTTAGGACGCTCGACTTGCAATCTGAGGGTCGCAAGTTCGAATCCCCACCACCGAACATGCTCATTCTATATGGTTGCTGACTGGGCTGTAAAAATTCGTGGCTTACAAAAACACAGGTCGACCCAAAACTAGTTGGAATTAAGATCATTACAGTAAAGACAGACAACTAATCTCTTTGAATAATTAAAATTACATTAATTTCTTGGATAGCACCCAAACTTTCTTCTCTGACTTGCCCTAAATGGCAGAAAGCAAAGCAACTGTATAGTAAAATTCATCATTCTCCAGACCATAGTGAGGTAAAGCTAAACATGGAAGCTGACAGCTCACATGAGAAGTGAAACCCTACTGGCAGGATATTGATCTACTTGGCACTAGTAAGATGAAAGTGGTAACAACGGAAGGCTTCATCAAAATTTGGAAGAAATAAAACTGCTGGAAAACAAAGTACCATACAGTGAAAAGCAAAAGATATGGAAATGGTAGTACAGTATACAACGAGAAGGCCTCTGGTAACATCAGAAAATAAACTCCCTTTCACCTCTTGTGAAACAGCTGGTCTCGACATATGGGGTCAGTGCAACCTCTGGGGCTGTTACCTAGTGCTCAAATCATCTCAATTATAGATAAATATTCATACATAAAATATGTTGAAAATCAGAAACTAACCACAACTGTGGCAATCATCAGAATAATGTTTGTATAAACCAACTGCAACACACCTTCTTTCTCTATCCTAGATGCAGTAATACAGAGGTTGAGTACATTATATTAAAAATGAATTTGAAGCTTACCATGTTGTTACAGTCCATGCCATCATGTCCATGGATCTTGACAAAAGCCCTGCTGAGTAATTTCCATTGCAAAAGGTTCCATCTCGAGACTGCCATGTTCAAAGCACACTACACCTCCATAAATGCATTCTATAATCCATCTAGTGTACAAAGACAACAGTTTCCCAATTCCTATTTTAACAGTTATATTGTGGAAGTAAGTTGTGTATGTGTAACTTGTGTTGCTTTTCCAGACAGTGATCCTTCTTGATTATGTTGTGTACTGTTGTCTGGGGCACATCGACTACTTGATACATAATTCTTTACAAGATGAGGATACCATTTGTATTTAGTGGTATTGCAAAATACAAATGGTATCCCCATCTTGTAAATTCTAAATTCCCAATACGAACATGCTTATATATGATCAGTGTATGAATATTTTGTGTCAGAAAGGTCTATTACATACCCTTCCCACTATTCTCTCCATTCTTTCTAATTACAGCAGTAAAAAAAATTACACTGTAAAATTCGAACTGTCTTTAGTTGTAGAAAATATCTTTATTAAAAAAATTACAGAAGATGGTTTATTAAATAAATACCAAAGTTTTATACATGTCTATTTTTTACAAACTAAACATTGGACTAGATTGTTTATAAAGGATAAAACCTCACTTTTTCTATGATGTCATTAAACTGTTCAAAAGTCAAACACTTTGTTTGCTATGAGTACAGTTAAACTCGGTATGTACAAAAGTAAAATTTATGAATGATAACTTAATCATGATAATAAAGGCTGATAACCAGTCTTCACAGCAGGCAATTTCATAGAATACTTTTATAAGGATATATTAGTAGAAACTAGAAGAAGGTAAAGTAAGAATTAAGTATGTAGAGCAATACTTGGTGAACTTACTAACACACTCATAAAAACCATAAACAAACAAAACATACTCAATACTGATTTCTAAAAAACTCAAGTCATCTTCTTTGTACAACATTTTTGAAATTTTTTTGTTCAAGAACTTTTCATCCTGCTGTAGTACTGTTATCATTGTCAGGTAAACAAAGATGAATTTTATGTTGCCAGAAGCTCCTGTCGCTGTTGTTCGAGAAGTTTTTCAAGATGGTTGGCTCTGGTTTTTGAGGCTTCAATTTCCAGACTGAGTTGTGAGATGATAGTTTCTTTTTTACTGAGAGTGTGTCGCACTCTGAAAAAGCATTGGGAACTTTAATCATAAAAACTCAATTCTAAATGGGTCATGGCATTGAAAATATTTAATAAAATACCAACTACACTTTCTTGGAATTAACAAAATGAAGTAACTTATCTTTCTTGTTCCTCAAAATTTGACAACGATATAATTTAGAACATTAAAATTTTGCACAAATATTAGGAAGCTTATTGAAATTCAAGCTCCACAATATTTCTACCTACATACAAAGGTACAATTATTAATTAATTAAGAAAAATTAAGCTTCAAGAACCGAAAAATAAACCAGACTACTCATAATTTTATTGCACACATATCATTGAATTTACAGCCCATATGGAACACTTGCTGTCCATTATATCTTAACAATAAAAAAAATCAATAATTAATGGTAAACTGTAAATTTAAGTATGTATCTTTTATGTAGAATGTATTTCAATATTTAGACTCAGGCCTAAGAGCTTTATTTATTATATTTAAATTTGACAATTCATTAATAAATTATTTTGTTGTTTACAATTGGTCAGTCACACACTTGTATATTACTGTTGTTATAGATTCTCCAATGATTCTTTTTTAAATTAAATTCTGTTAGCCATAGTTCTTGTATCTCACCCGATGATGCCAGGTAAACCTGGTGAAATATTGTGAATAAACTAAAAGCTTTACTATGTACAACAGATAAAAACTTATGTGAATTTTAAAAACATAGTTCTTTCTAATATCTAATTAAACATTTTATTTGTTATAAACATCAGCTGTGTGGTACAAGCACACCTAAGGGAACACACTGGTATCAAGAGTACAAAGCATGTAACAACAATAGAGCCAAAATAATGTACAAAGAAATGTAACAAAATTGATGCATTGTATGAAACTAATATTTAAATTCACCATGCATTTCTATCTCATTTTAACATTATAGTATTTATTCTGAATTTATTTTTTGCTCTTTTATGTGCAGAATTTGAGCTTGAGTTAGCCAGTCTGGTCTGGAACATTATTTAGCTAATATAATCCAGAATTTGATCTTGAGTTAGTCAGTCTGGTCTGGAACATTATTTAGCTAGAATAATCTAGAATTTGATCTTGAGTTAGTCAGTCTGGTCTGGAACATTATTTAGCTAGAATAATCTAGAATTTGATCTTGAGTTAGTCGGTCTGGTCTGGAACATTATTTAATTAGTATCATCTGGAGCTTTGTCTTCAGTAGTAAGTCATGTGATCCAGTAAAGGTAATTGTCCCCAGTGAGTAACAGCAAGTGTTTAATAAAGGTTGTTCATTTTGTATTTCACTTTATGTCCAGTCTTGTTATTTCATTTTACATCAAATCAGTTAGTAAAAGATGTAGTACTATTCTGTAGTCTATATCTACTGTTATCTAGCAAACCTATCCAATATAAATCTAAAGTTAATACCAATCCTACCTGGATTCACCACACTAGGAAACATGCAAAAGCTTAAAAATATTTGTATGAAGAAAACACAAGTTTTAACCAAATCATTGTGTATGAGGTAAATTTCTCACTTCAAATAAGAGTAAATATTACACCTGTTATGAAGTGCCTCTAGAGTTTCTTCATTACTTATTTTTATGTGTTTGAGTTCCAAGACAAGCTTCTGCAACTCCTGTTCATGTAATCGTTGTTGTTGTTGGGTTTCTTGGGCCAATCCTTCTTTTTCTTTCTTCAGCTGTTCCAGATCTGCAGAGAATTCCTGACGTACAATGTTGGTTAGGTTTTCTCTTTCATTCATCAAACTTTGATTCTTCTATAAAACAAACAAACATACTTATAAGAAATGCTAAATAAATGAATGGTTTCTGAATTTAATGTCACAAATTCACTAGACCTGTCTTAGACAAACTAACTAGAAGAATATGAAAGCCAAACTGCTGTGACAGTAAATGTACTTTAATTATGAAGTTAATAACTCAATTAGTTACAAATACGATTTTAAAGATTCAATAAGTCTCAATAATCCATTATCTTTCCTTTTTTTTTTTCATTGTCTGTTCTTAAGTGCTTTAGGCAATGCCCAATTAGGCTTATGCATATAAATATTTATTACTTATTCATTACATTAAAAATGACCCGAAAAATGGGGCTAACTCGGTAACCCGTGGCCCAATTTTAACGAAACTTCTTTTATTCTGTTTCTATTCTCATTTCATTACAAATATGGCACTATTGTCCGCTGGTTTTGCTGTATTTAATTACAGACAAGCAAACAAACAATCTCAGAATTTTAGTATGTAGATAACAAAATGTATATTTTAAAATGTAAAAGAATATGTTTTGAATTTACCTGAGGCACTTATTTTTTAAAATAAATTCATGGTTGTAAGGTAACTTCACAGCAAAAAAGGGATTGTCATTAATTTCTAACTACACAAATATTCATACATATACAGCATTTACAATTTTTTCCTTTAATACTTCACTTACAGACTTATTTTATACTGTTTACTACCAATGGGATCAACATATTACATCATATTGGTCGTTTCATAGTTTTTTGCTTGTTACAACATTTATGTAAAGACCTGATCAACACAACTGGGCAAAATAATTCATTTGCTATGTAAAATACATAATGGACCTCAGTGATACTTAAATGAATTAATTACAATGTTGATGATATTTATGTCTAAATTTTTGTCACTAATAAGTTATCAGGAATTCAGTAACAAAGAAAGTCATGGATACACATTAGGCTTAACTATGCAGCTTACAAGTCCAATTAAAAGTATTGCTCCAAAATGGCTGTTTAAGAACTACTGGAGTGAAGGGATGTTACAAGCTGTAAATCAGAAGATCTGCTTAAAAAAGTATAATGAGGTTTAGGGATAGAAATTAAAATTAATAAGTACAAGGCCTTTACAAGAATGTTCCCTTGAGCTACATGCAGAAATACAAAATGTAAATTGGCTGAGTGGTAAGAATGCCAGACTGTGGTTCTGAAGTATTGTGGTTGATGGTTTGTTACTGAAAAAAAAAAAAATCCCACCCTGCACCTCTGGGCCATGAGTGTGTTAAAGAGTGATGTTCATATGCCATTATTTGGTTTGACAAGAGTAGCCCAACAGTTGGCAGTGGATGGTGTTGACTTCCCTCTAGTCTGTCACTTTAAAATTAGGGATGGCTATCAGATAAATACAAGAATACACAAACAAAACCAAGGATATGTTTAAGGTTAAAGTATTTCAATGTGTTTCAAGGACAAATTGATCAGATTAAAAGTTTTCCATAATTTTGTTCTACAGTTCATAATAAATTTCAAAAACACATTTGCTGATTATCAAAAAATAATTAGTTTCTTAGGTTATATGATCAAAGCTAATGCATAAACAGTTTAAAAAATCTGATCAACTTATAGTTTATGGGTCTCATAACTTTTTGTAGAAAGAGCATGTTTGCAGTACCTTTTTTACTTCTAGTACTTCTGTAGCTTTACACTTGACTGTAGACTCTAGCTGCAATTTTTCTGCTTCTAACTCAGTAAGCTGACTCTTCACTTTATTAAAATTTAGATAAAATAGAATTCTCTGATACTTCCAGGTCTTTCAGTTCTTTCTCATACTTCTGTGTCAGTCGTCTGGTAAGAACCCAAAGTGTTATTAGTTATATTATATAGACAGAATAACACAAAAGGGAAACATAGTACAAGCTTGTGAACTTCATGACGTACTGAAGGACAATGTAATTATTTATGGCATGTTACTTTAGAATAGTTACACACATACTTCTGTGTCAGTCGTCTGGTAAGAACCCAAAGTGTTATTAGTTATATTATATAGACAGAATAACACAAAAGGGAAACATAGTACAAGCTTGTGAACTTCAT